TTAAAAAAGTGAAGAACTTTGTTGGGCAATGTAGTCTTTTATATGTTTGATTTTGTGTTTGAATAACACACATTGCTTATAAAATATTTAAAAATTTGGAAGGATTTATAGAATGGGTCTTTTAGGCAGTTTTATTTGGTATTGGCACAAATATCAAGTAATGAGGCAAATAAATTCTGTAATGGCTATTATGATTCTTTTCAGAAAGGAGGTGGGGTTAGGGTCTTGTAATTTGAGTAGCATGTTCTGAGCAATGACCTTTTGGTTAAGATGCCAATAGCATAGGCACAGTAGCTGAAATAAGCAAGGGGACTACATCAGACCTGAAAACTCTACACAGCAAATGAAACAAGTTAAAAAGGCAATCTAGGATGGGAGAAGATATTTACAAACTATATATCTGATAACTGGTCAATATTGTTTAGATATATAAGGATCTCATACAACTCAAAAACAAACAAAAAGACAAATAATCATATTTTTATATGGACAAATGGCGTAAATAGACTTCTTTTTCCAAAAATACATACCAGTGGGCAACAGGTATATCACTAATCATCAAAGAAGTTTAGATAGCTTTAAAATTGTCAAGCAGTGTATCCTTAATTCATATTGTAAAACTAAAATATGTGAATTACTGTAGTTCAGTAAATGTAGGATGTGTGTGTGCTAGTCACTCAGTCGTGCCCCGATTCTTTGTGACCCCATGGACTGTAGCCCGCCAGGCTCCTCTGTCCATGGAATTCTCCAGGCAAGAATACTGGAGAGGGTTGCCATGCCCTGCTCCAGGGGATCTTCCCGACCTAGGGATTGAACCCGGGTTTCCTGCATTGCACACAGATTCTTTACCATTTGTGCCACCCAGGAAACCAATAATACAGGATGTTTGAAGATTATGTTTACATGGCGGGCAGTTTTGCTTTTTTTAGGAAATAAAAACAAAACAAAACTAGTTTTACTAGGTTTGGTTACTTAGGTACTAAAGTACCTAACTTTTGGTACTAAAGCACTTTTGGAATTTGGAAATCAGTGTTTATAAATGCTACAAACGCCCTGATCATTAACATGAAGGCATAATAGGTATCCTCTAAGATTCCCATCAGGCTTGATAGATCTTTATTTTGTTAGTGTTCGTAATTTTTAGATGCTTATGCTGAGTTAGGTTTTTTTCATTGATTATATTTTTAATCTTCTTGAGGCCAATATTAACTAACGGCCCTTTTGATTGGAACTGTTATTATGTTTGTAGCTGTTCATGTTCTTTTATCTTCCAAGTTATTCCTGGCAACCTGCTACAGTGATCACTGTCTAGAATGACTTGATGCTTTATCAACGTTGTATTTTATGACATTTTCCTCTTGGCATTTTATTTTAAAGTATAGCATACATGATGTAGAAGAAGTGCAAATAGAAATGAAAATGGGATTTTGATGTTTTATGTCTTGTCAGGAAATCTTTCATTATACTTTGATGAAGTGTGGCACAAACCTAGAAACATGGAAATTTTGTTATTTAAAAAGTTAATTTTATAAATATTATAAATATCTGCTTCTTAAAACCAAAGCAAAGCGAAGCGAAAGAATTTTACCCTATATGGCAAAGTTATAAACATAAATGGGAGAAAATATTGAAGCATCTTTAACAAATGAAGAAATTTTACAAATAAATAAAATTCCTGAAGTTCATTAAAAATGCTGGCAAAAGATATATACAGTGCACTGAAAAATAAATGCCTTTGTAAAGATGTCTTGCTCTGTTTAATAAAAAATGCATATTAAAACTTCCCTGAGATATTTTTTTGCCTAGTTGACTGGTAAACGTAAAGCCTAATATACTTTGTTTAAATAGATATGGAGAATCAGTTACTCTCAAATTGTTTTATAAATTTGTATAATTTCTTTGGAAATACCTTTCAAAATTTAAATACACATATGCTAGACTCAGGGGATTAGATCTGATAGACAGAGTACCTGAGGAACTATGGACGGAAGATTGTGACATTGTACAGGAGGCAGGGGTCAAGACCATCCCCAAGAAAAAGAAATGCAAAAAGGCAAAATGGTTGTCTGAGGAGGCCTAACAACTAGCTGAGAAAAGAAGAGACGCAAAAGGCAAAGGAGAAAAGGAAAGATATACCCATTTGAATGCAGAGTACCAGAGAATAGAACTGAGAGATAAGAAAGCCTTCCTCAGTGATCAGTGCAAAAAATAGAGGAGAAAAATAGAATGGGAAAAGCTAGAAATTTCTTCAAGAAAATTAGAGATACCAAGGGAACATTTCATGCAGAGACAGGCACAATAAAGGATAGGAACAGTATGGACCTAACTGCAGATAATATTAAGAAGAGGTGGCAAGAATATACAGAAGAACTGTACAGAAAAGTCTTTGTGACCCAGATAACCATGATGGTGTGATCACCCACCTAGAGGCAGACACCCTGGAATGTGAAGTCAAGTGGGCCTCAGGAAGCATCACTATGAGCAAAGCAGGTGGAGGTGATGGAATTCCTGGTGAGCTACTTCAAATCCTAAAAGATGATGCTGTGAAAGTGGTACATTCAGTATGCCAGCAAATTTGGAAAACTCAGCAGTGGCCACAGGACTGGAAAAGGTCAATTTTCATTCCAATCCCAAAGAAAGACAATGCCAAAGAATGTTCAAACCTGCATAATTGCACTGTCTTACATACTAGCAAACTAATGCTCAAAACTCATTTGATTCTTGGGAGATACACTGAGATAGCTGAAGAAGACATACATACAACTTTTTAACTGAATATCCTTTACAGAATAAATAAACATGTGTTACCTGCTAAAATTAACATTCAAAAGAATGACATTGAACTGAAACTTTGTAAGCTGTATATGAAATACTCCATCAGTGGACACGCAGAAGGTATTTGTTCATCATGAATATATCACTAATAATAATAATGCAATAATTCAGTGATGTTTGCTACTCAGTTCAAACATCTATTCCTCAAAAGGAAGGTCTCTTTGACTTCCTCTCCTTACTCTAGACTAGTTAGGGCAGGCACCCTATTAAAGAATTCATCCTCTGTATTTTGTCTGAGCACTTAATACATCTCTGATTAAATAATTTAAAAATTTCCCCCCATTGATTAAGTTAGGTTCCTTGAGGGTTGAGAATCCATCTGTCTCTTTCACTGCTGGGGCATTTTGTACTATGATATCCTCTGTGTTGATAACAATGCATATTTGAATGAATGAGGATTAATTCTAGAATATCAGACCAACACCACAGCCTATTAGGAAAATGCATGTTTGTCTTCTCACCCATGTTGGCATTTCTGTTCCTTCTTTCAGTGACTTCCCTAAAAGAAACGAGCGATTTAACCTTTTAGTGTGTGTGGGTAGGAAGGGGAGAACACAGATCCCTTTTAGAAACCATGATTAACATAAAATTGCAAAGATGTAAATACCCCCAAATTTTGTTGTTTAATTTTAGTGATATCATGGATTTCCCTGAATCTCTTGATATAGACCCACATCACTCTGAGGTTTCACTCTGCAGGATTGATTTTTCTATTATTTTATTTTATTTTATTGTGACAGTTTTTGGTATCTTTGCTTTTTGACCATTTCTCTTGTTCTGTGACTGGCCTTTTATGTTTTATTACAAAAAATTTCAAACATACAGAAAGGTTGAAAAAGTTTACTTTGATACCAAAATATCCATCACTCATGTTCTGCAATTATCTTTTTACTGTATTTCCTTTCTCATGTAGTTTTCTGTCAATCCATTTGTCATCCTTTTTTCATTTAATGCATTTTTGAGTAAGTTGCCAATATCGTTATACTTTTTTCCATATACTTCAGCTTGCCTGGCATTAACTAAAGTTCAGTATTGTTTACAGGATTCTTTTTTGAGGTAGAAATTTATATACAATGAAACACACCAATTTTAAGTGTAACATTTGATGAATTTCGATGGGTGTATACACAAACTCCTATTAAGCAGTAGAACAAGTCTCATCACCTCCAGAAAGTTTGCTCCTGTTTCTCCTCATTATTTTTTTGTGCTTTTATATAAGCAATTAAATCTTACTCCTGTTTAATTATTATGTTATAGTGATCCCCTCAGCTTTGCACTGTTTGATAGGCATTCTCTCTGTCATAAGTTGAAGGTTGATGACAAAGTATCTGCCAACCTAGGATTGTTACGAATCAGCCTAGTGATAGAACTAAGAAGATCTAGTAGGAGCTAGGAACATAATCTCCAGCCTGGGGGTTCTTCTGAGTGTCTGCAGGGTAAAGCTGGTGTGGGAGTAATGACTGGGTGGGAGGAAGTCTTATTAGTGCTCTGTCTTCACATGGCACTAAAGGGAGCAATTTATTTTGGCTGACAAAATTCCTGTTCACGAGATATTACTTCAGAAGTAAGACTTTTCACCTTTGAACACATTTCACCTTTGTGCAGTAAGACCATTTCACCTTTGAACACAACTTACCTATCACAGGATGTTTTCCAGTATTCATATAGTGAATTACTGTAATGAGAGGAGGTAAGAAACAATGTATTAGTCATTTTGCTTTCCAGGGAAACATTTTTCTAGTCTAAAAATTTTAAGTTTTTTCTTAGAAGTTATAGCTATTTTTTAGAATGTGTTGCTTTTAGCTGAACGATAGGTTGCTTTCCCTTATATGTTTATTTATAACATGATCATGTAGTTTCTAATGCTTCAACATTGTCAGGATAGCACAGTTTAGTAACAAGAGTTTAGTAACACAGTTTAGTAACAGTTTATTTAAGATTATTTATGATTTAAGATTATTTGTGTCTAACACTCATATTGAAATTTAAACTCCTTTAGTGCTGATAATTTTATTTCTAGACAGCAACTTTGGTGCTTCTCATTAGCCAATGAGCAATAAACACATTCACGTTTGGAAAGTGTATTGCCAGTGTTAAATTGTTAATATAAGATAGCCATTTAACTAATCATGTGGTTTTTTTTTTTTTGGTATATTCTGACACAGAAAAAAGAACCTTCTAAATCCAGTGTGAAGAAAAAAGTGACCAAGATTGCAGAAGCAAAAAAAGTAATGAAGAGAAATTTTAAAGTAAATAAGAAAATAACATTTACCGATGAAGGAGAGGTAAGATTCTATAAATGCTTCATTTCTGAGGTACTTTCCAAGTATTAGAAAGTTGGATTCTGCTGCTGACATGCCATTTTTAATAAGAAAAATGTTTCTCAAGACCTCTCAGGCAACTCCTTTCATTGTTTCTGTAGGTATTTGGTCAGCTCTACATGTATAGGCAAGAATGCCTTTGTGACAGTAAGCTGGGCTACTTCTTAATGATTAACAGCAGAGTTTGTTTTCTTTTTTTTTCATCAGAGTATAGTTGCTTTATAATGCTGTGTATATATATATACACCCTCTTCCTGGGATTTCCTTCTGACTTAGGTCATCACAGAGCATTGTGTAGAGTTCCCTGTGCTATACAATCAGTTCTCATCAGTTAATCTATTTTATACATAGTAGTGTATATATGGTGCTTCTTAGGTGGCTCAGTGGTAAAGAATCCACCTACCAACACAGGAGATCCAGATTCAATCCCTGGGTTGGGAAGATCCCCTGGAGGAGGAAATGATAGCTCACTCCAGTGTTCTTGCCTGAAAAGTCCCATGGACAGTGGAGCCTGGCGGGCTACAGTCCATTGGTTCGCAGAGTCAAGAGTCGAACACCACTAAGTGACTGAGCGCCACCATGCAGCAGTGCATGTATCCCGGTCCCGGTCTCCCAGTCCATCTCGGTCCCGGTCTCCATTGGTATCCATAATTTGTTCTCTGTCTTTCTGTTTCACAAATAAGTGCATTTATACCATATTTCTATGTGGTTCATATATACCATATATATTCCACATATATGTGTTAATAAATAATATTTGAACCATGGTTCAGAAGAAAGGGGATATGTATACTTATGGCAAATTCATATCGATGTCTGGCAGGAGCTATCAAAATATTGTAAAGTAATTATCCTCCTATTAAAAATAAAATTAAATAAATTTATTTTAAAAAAGAAACAATACTTGTTTTTCTCTTTCTTTCTTCACTCTGTGTGATAGTCTCTGGGTCCATTCACATCTCTGCAAATGGCACAATTTTGTTCCTTTTTATGGCTAAATAATATTCCATTGTATGTGTATACCACATTTTCTTTATGATGGATGGTTAAGTTACTTTCATGTCCTGACTGTTGGAAATAGTGCTGCAGTAACAATGGGGTGCATGTTTCTTTCTGAATGATGATTTTTCTCCCCATATATGCCCAGGAATGCGATTGCTGAGTCATATGGTAGTTCTAGTTTTAGTTTTTTAGGAGCCACCACACTGTTCTCTCTAGTAGCTGTTACACTTTGCATCCCACCAACAGTGTAGGAGGATTCTTTTTTCTCCACACCGTCTCCAGCATTTATTGTTTGTAGATTTTTTGGTATATTTTTTTAAAAATTACTTATTTTTTTAATTGAAGGATAATTACTTTACGGAATTTTGTTGTTTTCTGTCAGACATCAACAAGAGTCAGCCATAGGTATGCTCATGTCCCTTCCTTCCCAAACCTCCCTGCCGTCTCCCTCCCTATCATACTCTTCTAGATTTTGTTACAGAGCCCCTGTTTGAGGTCCCTGAGTCATACAACAAACTCCCACTGGCTATCTGTTTTTACATATGGTATTGTGAATTTCCATGTTACTCTCTCCATACATCTCACCCTCTCTCTCCTCTCCTCCTCCTGTGTCCATAATTCTGTTCTCTATGTCTGTTTCTCCATTGCTGCCCTGCAAATAAATTCATCAGTACCATCTTTCTAGATTTCATATATATGCATCAGTATATGATACTTTTTTTCTCTTTCTGACTTACTTCACTCTGTAGAATAGTCTCTAGGTTCGTCTGTCTCATTAGAACTGACTCAAATGTGTTCCTTTTTATGGCTGAGTCGTAGTCCATTGTATATATGTAGCACAGCTTTATCCATTCATCTGTTGATGGACATCTAGGTTGCTTCAGTGTTCTAGCAGTTGTAAATAGTGCTGCAATGAACATTGGGCCAAATGTGTCCTTTTCAATTTTGGTTTCCTCAGGATATATGCCTAGTAGTGGAATTTCTGGGTCATATGGTGGTTTTATTCCTAGTTTTTTAAGGAATCATCATACCATTTTCCATAGTGGCTGTATCAATTTACATTCCCACCAGCAATGCAAGAGGGTTCCCTTTTCTCCACAGCCTCTCCAGCATTTATTGTTTGTAAACTCTTTAATGATGGCCATTCTAACTGGTATGAGGTGGTTATCTTATTGTAGTTTTGATTTGCATTTCTCTAATAATGAGCCCTGTTGAGCAGCTTTAAGTGTTTGTTAGCCATCTATACGTCTTCTTTGGAGAAATGTCTGTTTAGGTCCTTTTCCTACTTTTTGATTGGGTTGTTTGTTTTTCTGGTATTGATTTGCATGAGCTGCTTGTATATTTTGGAAATTAATCCTTTGTCAGTTGTTTCCTTTGCTATTATTTTCTCCCATTCTGAGGGTTGTCTTTTCGCTTTATTTATAGTTTCCTTTACTGTGCAAAAACTTTTAGGTTTAATTAGATCCCACTTCTTTATTTTTGTTTTTATTTCCATTACTCTAGGAGGTGTGTCATAGGGAATCTTGCTTTGATTTATGTCATCAAGTGTGCTACCTGTTTTCCTCTAAGAGTTTTATAGTTTCTGGTCTTACATTTAGGTCTTTAATCCATTTCAAGTTTATCTTTGTGTATGGCGTTAGGAAGTGTTCTAATTTCATTCTTTTACACATAGCTTTTTTCTCAGCACCACTTATTGAAGAGGCTATCTTTGCCCAATTGTATATTCTTACCTCCTTAGTCAGAAAAAAAAGGTACCCATAGGTGCGTGTGTTTGTCTCTGGGCTCTCCATCTTGTTCCATTGGTCTGTGTTTCTGTTTTTGTGCCAGGACCATACTGTCTTGATGACTGTAGCTTTGTAGTATAATCTGAAGTCAGGAAGGTGATTCCTCCAGCTTCATTCTTCTTTCTCAAGACTGCTTTTGCTATTTGGGGTCTTTTGTGTTCCATATGAATTGTGATTTTTTTTGTTCTAGTTCTCTGAAAAATGCCATTGGTAATTTGTTAGGGAATACATTGAATCTGTAGATTGCATTTGGTAGTATAGTCATTTTCACAATATTGATTCTTCCTACCCAGGAACATGGAATATCTTGCCATCTGTTTATGTCATCTTTGATTTCTTTCATTAATCTCTTATAATTTTCCATATACAGTTATTTTATCTCCTTAGGTAGGTTTATTCCTAGATATTTTATTATTTTTGTTGCAATGGTGAATGGGATTGATTTCTTAATTTCTCTTTCTGATTATTCATTGTTAGCATATGGGAATGTAAATGATTTCTGTGTACTTGCATCCTGTGACTTTGCTGAATTCACTGATTAGCTCTAGTAATTTTCTGATAGTTTCTTCTGGGTTTTCTACACATAATATCATGTAATCTGCAGAGATTGAGATTTTTACTTCTTCTTTTCCGATCTGGATTCCTTTTGTTTCTTTCTCTTCTCTAATTGCTGTACCTAGGACTTCTAAAGCTATGTTGAACGGTAGTAATGAGAGTGCACACCCTGTCTTGTTCCTGATCTTAGAGGGAAGTCTTTGTTTTTCACCACTGAGAGTGATGTTGTTTGTAGATTTTTTGATGATGGCAATTCTGACTGGTGTGCAGTGATACTCAGTTTTGATTTGCATTTCTCTAATAATTAGTGATGCTGAGCATCTTCTCATGTGTTTGTTGTCCACCTGTATGTCTTCTTTGAAGAAGTTTCTGTTTAGGTCTCCTGCCCATTTTTTGATTGGATTGTTCCAGGTTGGTTCTGAATTTCCCGGATCCTGTTTTTATAGATAAGACTTTCTTGTCATGGGGTCCATCTCTCATTGTACTCTGTGGGAACATGCGGAAGGATAATAACACAGCCTCTCACCACAGCTTCTCTTGCTTGACTATAGAAAGCCTCTGCTCTGTGATTCCACAATTTTAGGTGCTATATTGGCTTCTTTTTACTTACTGGCCTGTTGTGGGAAAAATTCTCTGCTTTAAAATAACCTTAGATGTATAGGTGTCTGGTTTACATTTCATAATTACCTGGTCTTAGTGTAAATACATCCCCATAGAGTAGGGAAGAGGTTACCTCACAGATTGCTCATGAAAGTCACTTATTATATAATAATATTATCTTCATTTTTTAAGAGGAAACATATTCAGAATGTCAAGTGACTCACCTTAAGTAGTGATGCTAGAGTCGGTGGTCATAGGATCTTCTGAATGTTGTCTTTGCTTCACTCTGACTGACCTATGGGTTTCCACGTTCATTCTGATATAGCACTCAGCACCACATGCCACCATGATATCATTTCCCTTGCCCTATGTTTATTTTTTCTTCATACCACTTATTATGAGACTTTTCATTCTGTAATTATTCAGTGGTTTTCTGTTTCTTCCACTCTAGTGGGAATGAGGGAAGATATTTCCTCTCCAGAGGAATGAGAGAAGGTACTTCTATTCCACTGAGATGAAAAAAATTACACGAGGGAAGGTATTTGTTGGCTCTGCTTACTACTCTGTCCTCTGCACTTAGAACAGTGCCTAACAAATAGCAAGCCCTCAGAAGAAGTGTATACTCTGGTAAAATAACAGAGCTTTTTATTCTAACTATAATGTATCACATGTCACATCAAATATTTTATCATTATTTATATAATTGCACAATCCATATGCAGTGGTGTGTGTTTCCTTTTAATTCTGAATTTAGCAAAGATTTGGATGTTACTTTGGGGATGAGGTTTTGGTTTAGAAGGCCAATTTGCACTGGTAATGTGGAGTAAAATGGTGTATAAATAGTATGAAAACTAACAAAGTTGAATACAATTCAAATTTTGAAGTTGTTGTTGAAGTTGCAGAGGAAGCCTATACAATTGAAATATATGAATCTCTGTGATCCAGAAAAGAGGTCAGCACTTGAGAAACAGGCTAAATCAGAAAATAGTTGTAGTATTGTATCACAAGCTCACTGTAAGAGAGGATTAGTGCTTTTAGTGTATTGAGGTTCCTTACTGTGCTACTAATTTAGCTGCAGAGATTATACCCATTAACTTCAGGTTGAGTGTAAATCCTTAACTGTAAAATACTTCATTGTAAATGTATTGCTGACAGGAGCACTGTGTGACTATAAGCCATGGTGAAACTTCTGATCTAAAACCCTGAAAGAAATGCTACCATTTGTTCCACCCATAGGCTTCCCTGATGGCTCAGTGGTAAAGAATCTGCCTGCAATTCAGGAGACACAGGCGATTTGGGTTTGATTCCTGGGTTGGGAAGATCCCCTGGAGGAGGAAATGGCAATCCACTCCAGTATTCTTGCCTTGGAAATCTCATGGACACAGGATCCTGGCAGGCTACAGTCCATGGTGTTGCAAAGAGTTGGGAGTTGGACACGACTGAGTGAACAAGGAAAGAAGGATTCCACTTAGGGATGACTTTTTTCCACTCTGATAAAGGAGAAGTCAGAGCAGTGGGTGGTGTTCTTAACTGGCACCACTCATCTCTCAGAGCTTCTTCTGTGACTGCTGCTGTGCTGCTCATGCATTTGTGACCCTTGCTTCAAGTTGTGACTCTATGGTAGTCTCATCTTGAAGAATGAGATGATGCCTACAGCCTTCATTTTCCTGCTGTTTAATTAGCAGTCTTTCAGAAACTGTAGCAGTTACTTAAATCTTCCTGGCAGTCAATTACAGGAATAAGAGAAATGCTTTAGTCTAAATTGTCTAGAATTTTACTCTGTTAGGCCTGAAATATGATTAAGTCAGACAAACCTTATTTTTCAAGCAATGATACAGATGTATGGAAATTAAGTAATTTATTCAGGGTTACGCACTGGGCTAGTGAAAAAGCCAAAGCATTAAAGCCACATCTCCTGACTCTCAGATCAGTGCTCTGACTTCTTTATCACCTTGTTCCTAACCATAAAATGTTTGTGTAAAATTGTATAGATCTGAGCAGGCTTATGAAACCCAGACTAACTTTCTCCTTTACGCTTAACTTAGTTATTTCAGTTTTTATGTGTGGTACCAGCTGATATGTGTTTCATCAATTTTGAGCACATAATGTATGCCAGATAATGTGGTGGGTTCTCAGGATACATGAATAAGACATATGACTACCCTCAAGGAGGTTAATGCTAGGAAGGAAAACAGGAAAGTAAAACATCCCAGTGTGCTGAGAAGTGTTAAGAGTAGGTACACTGCCATGCCATGGCAGTGGCAGGGCTGCACTCTGCTCAGCCTGGCTGTCGTCCTGTGTAGATCATTTGGAGCTGAGTTGGTGGAGTATTGCATTCTACAAATGCTGAAATGATGCTGAAGCAACTACCTTATTGTACAAATTATTTAATGAAAATTTCTTTTAACCCTGCTCTTAATTGAGTTATGGCAGCATTACTTTTTCCTGACTTTTCTGTCACCTGCTCACTTTTATTATAAAGCTTGTTTGAAAGTTTCAGAAATATAGGTTGTAAGGCAGAAAGTATGTATGTGCACGATTTCAAAATCATTCTACAAGTGCAAGTGGCGTTCTTACAAGTTGATGTTCCTTGTCTCCTGCCTCATATTCACCTTTTTCCTCTCTGCAGTTGGTTCAGCAGTGGCCACAAGTGCAGAAATCTGTTTCCAAGGATACTGAGGAAGAGGATGACGCTGGTGGTATTAACTTAGATAAAGCAAAGGAAAGGCTTCAAGAAGAGGACAAATTTGACAAAGAGGAATATAGGAAGAAAATTAAGGCAAAGCATCGGGTAAGCTTTCTATCTTGAATGAATACTGAGTGATATTTAATATGTCCTAAATGTATTTAAATGTTCAATAGAGATTCTTTAACAACTAAGTTACTTTACCATTTTCTTTAGCACTTATTTTTCGTGGCCATTTTGTTTTTTTATCTAGTCCTTTTTCCTTCTGCTGGTGAAGTCTTTGTATACTAACTGGTTTCTGAGAATGTCACCAAAATCTGCCTTTGGTTGAGGTGACCCAAATTACAGTGATTTTTTTTTTCCCAAATAAAGTTCTAATTTGAAGATAATTGTAGTTGTACGCTTGTTAGAAGTTGTATCAGGAACTCCATTTCTATAACTTTTTCATTTCAAGAATATATATATAAATGAAACCATGCAGTATATGGCCTTTTAGGATTGAGTTTTATCACCCATCATGAATCTGTAGATCACCTGGTTCTGTGTTTGACCCCTTTCTTTCTGTTACTGAGTAGTGAGTGTTAACATGGTGTGGATGGAGCATGGTGTGTTTCATGTTTCAGCTGTTTGAGCAACATTAGTATTGTTTCCAGTTTGAACTTAAATCTTTCCATAAGCGATTACTTGGCAATAGATACAAGATTAAATTTACTAAATTAAGAAAAAAATAAGGAAACTTTGTGAGAAAGAGTGCTTCTATATAGGCACATGCCCTATTGGCCTTAAACTGTTATCCTTAAAACTGAAAGGGTTACTCCATTCTGGCCTCATGATATTACTGTCCTTTTGCACGACTTAAAAGTGGGCCTTTCACTTGATAAAGGAGTCAATTAATGAACTAAAACAGATTTACCTTTTTAAAGAAGTTTCTGTGGTATGCCCTTGAGACAATGAATGGTCTCAGGGTAACACAGTAACATATGCAAGAATCACTGCTATAATATTAAGTTCTGTATCAAAAATTTTAAAGTCATTGGATGTGGTCATTATTAACCATATCCATATTAACCATTACTAACCATAATAATTAGCCATATGATCATTATTAACCATATTATTAACCATATCCTGTGGTCAAAACTGTAGATTTTGACTCCTGTTTGACCTTGTTATTATTTAATGATTTCTTTAAGATTTGATATAACTTCACAGTAGCATTTAATGAATAAGAAATTTAGTTCTTAAAGATAGCTTTCAGGGATGAAAATGAATGGCAAGGAAAAACATTCCATAATGTGGAGAACAAATGAACCTAAAATATACTGGTTAGAGTTTGGGGGTATAACTAAGCATTTCCTTCATTGCTGCTTTTAGCACAGTACTTTATTTATTTATTTTTATTGTTTTCCATTTATTTTTATTAGTTGGGGGTTAATTACTTTACAATATTGTAGTGGTTTTTGCCATACATTGACATGAATCAGCCATGGATTTACATGTGTTCCCCATCCCGATCCCCCCCTCCTGCCTCCTGGATAGCACAGTACTTTAAATAGAAATTTGGTGTTAATAATTTGTTGCTAAAATTTTTAATAATGCTGAGTGTCAAGCAGCTTGTCATGTTTCTGCTTATAGTGTTCTTAAAGTATTTATCCAGCATAAGGACATTTTACCTTTATTTTTAAATTGTAGTCAACAGTAGAAAGAAATATGGAGAATTAAGGCTCTCCCCACCCCCATTTGCTTCTTCCCCTTTTCTTATTTTCCCTTTCACCCCTCTTCCCAATATGTGGAAGTTATCACTGTATCTGGGTTGTGGAATATTGTTTCTGAAATATTTAGGAACTTAATTTCAAATTACTGTTGTATATTACACAGTGTTTGTGTGCTAGGCTCTGCCTTAGACTGTGAAGATGGACTATATAATATACATGGTGTTGGGACTTCCCTGGTGGTCGATTGGCTAAGACTCCACATCCTGTATGCAGGGGGCCTGGACTCGATCCTTGGTCAGGGAACTAGAGCCCACATGTTGCAACTAAAGAACCTGCATGCTGCAATGAAGATGAAAGGTCCCAAGTGCTGCAAATAAGATCCAGAGCAGCCAAATAAATAAATATTAACAAAAATAGAAAAAATAAAATATATGGGTTCTATTCTCTGGAAGATTATAATTAAATCATAGTTAACTTTGAATATTTAGTCACTGCATAGAAATTTTCTGTGCTCCAATTTTTTTTACATTACAGTTTTTGAAATGAATAATATCTTCATGTTTTCCAAAGTCAAGATGATAAAGTTCATGTTGAGAAGTCTTGCTTCTGCCCATACCTGTCACTTTTATTCTTGTCTCCACCTCAGAGGTAAATTTTTATCCATTACTAATGTATCCTTAAAGTTTATGCAAAGACTAGTAAATAGAAATGCATATTCTTATTTTCTCTCTTTGTTACATTCATATTACAGTATTCTATAGTACTGTAGATTGTTCTATACTTTTTCATTTGCACTTATTTTTGAGACTTTACATAATTTATTTCTTTTGCACCATTGTTAAAACATAGCATATGACTTTAAAACTATCACTGTGACTGTCTCACAGCAAGGTTGAAGAGAGCAGTTTGGGGCTGATACAGTTGGGAGAGAAATCACACGAACTTTACATGCTACTGCTTTTAAAACAGTTCTCTGTAACTAAAAGTGATATAAGATCTTTTTAAAACAAGTTTGTTGTTTAAAGCAAAGTTTGTTGTTTTATATGAAATAAGTATATTCTGCAAAGGTGGCCCATGGCATACTTTCTATATTGGAGACTGAAAATATTATGCATTCTAAAAAGAGCACAAAGAGGAAACCGAAGTAATCTTCCCTTTATTCAGCTTAATGGGAATTTCGACCTGGCACAAATATGATTCATTTCTTGGTATTTTCATCAGTAAAATTATTATTTAAATGTAAGTATTTGTATATTAGTGAAATTTCATGTTTTTGAACACTTAGTTTGTTTATTATAATAGTAAGATACAGTGTGCTTAGTCGCTCAGGCATGTCCAACTCTTTGCCACCCCATGGACTATAGCCCGCCAGGCTCCTCTGTCCATGGGGATTCTCTTGGCAAGAATACTGGAGTGGGTAGCCACTTCTCCAGGAGATCTCCTTGACCCAGGGATCGAACCCAGGTCTCCTGTATTACAGGCAGATTCTTTACCAGCTGAGCTACCAGGGAAGCCCATAAGATACAATTCAGGTGCTCAAATCAACTATGTACCAATTGACCATGGACTAGATTTCTACTTAGAATGGGTATGTATTATTTTTTTTAAACGTTAGGTTTTAGCATTTGGCATAATGTTTGGTGGAGAGAGTATTGTGCTGTAACAAGTTGGAATGTGCTTTGGAGCCCTAGCATTACCTAGTCCATTTGGATCACCAGTCACCAATTTGGATTGCACGTTCTTTTTTTTTTTCCCAAGTGTCATAGAATTTATTTATTTATTTTTTCTTTTATTTCTTTTATTTCTTTTTATTTTTTTCTATTTATTTTTATTAGTTGGAGGCTAATTACTTTACAATATTGTAGTGGATTTTGTCATACATTGACATGAATCAGCCATGGATTTACATGTATTCCCCATCCTGAACCCCCCTCCCACCTCCCTCCCCATCCCATCCCTCTGGGTCTTCCCAGTGCACCAGCCGTGAGCACTTGTCTTATGCATCCAACCTGGGCTGGTGATCTGTTTCACCCTTGATAGTATACTTGTTTCAATGCTATTCTCTCAGAACATCCCACCCTCACCTTCTCCCACAGAGTCCCAAAGTCTGTTCTGTACATCTGTGTCTCTTTTTCTGTTTTGCATATAGGGTTATTGTTACCATCTTTTTAAATTCCATATATATGCGTTAGTATACTGTATTGGTGTTTATCTTTCTGGCTTACTTCACTCTGTATGATGGGCTCCAGTTTCATCCATCTCATTAGAACTGATTCAAATGAATTCTTTTTAATGGCTGAGTAATATTCCATGGTGTATATGTACCACAGCTTCCTAATCCATTTGTCTGCTGATGGGCATCTAGGTTGCTTCCCTGTCCTGGCCATTATAAACAGTGGATTGCACTTTCCTATTCTGAAAAGTGAGGGAAAGATAATAGGAGTTAATAACAAGTGATTAGAGAGATACCCTGGCTCTGTGTGTATAGGTAAGATGTGAGAATAAAATGAAAATAAAACTCCATAAAATCTATAACATAATTCTGTATCTGATACATATTTTGACACATATAATATTTTGAAAAATGTGTCAATTTTAGAAGCTTTTATGAGATTAAAAATCTTTCAGCATGTTTAAAATATTTCATGATTATATTTTTGGTTTAGAAGGGTAAGATAGTTAATATAATAAGTGAATTTAGTCTTAATGATTCTGTTTGAAAGTAATTGTTTTTTCCTACTGTTTAAAATTGACAGCCTCACATAATAGCTTTGAAAATGCACTCTGTTTTTGTAATGTGGGTCTCAGCTGCTCATTTATTCCCATGTGTTATTCCTCCATGTTATTAACACCTGTCCTTGACTCATTTTTTCATCTACCAAATTCTGAAAACTGTGTAATTTCTACTATGACTCAAGTAAATATCTTTGTTGTAAAGATTTATAGCAAAAAGTAAATGAAAAGGAAGAAGTGAAGATGATACAGTTTTGGCCTCGCTGGGAATGGAACTTAGCCCCCTTGCTGGAACTTGGCCCCTCTGGGGACTTACGGAGCCCTTGTGTAACTGCTTTGGGTCACCCAGTCAGTGACCATTTTAGCCATTAAGCATCATTTTCTTCTGAGACCATTTGGATCTTCTGCTTTCGCTGGCAGTTTACAAGTAGCTATACTTAATTAGGTGTGTTACTGGGGGTTTTTTTTTGCCTCTTGAAACTATCAGAAGTAAAATTATAGCAAAATATACTTTTACATAGAAAACCATTAGTAAAAAAAAAAAAGAAGAAAACCATTAGTAAATTAAGTTGTAAATGCAAAAGCACTGCTTTTGCACAGAAACAATGTGTTTTCTGATAATTCAGTTAGAACTGTGAAAGATGGGCCATGAATCAT